TTAGTGATTATTATAGTTAGTATTTGGGAGTTTAATAAATTGTTGTGTTATTTTATTTGCTTACTGGAATCATTCGAACCACGGGAAACGTAACAATATATAATATAGAATACGAACACAAAATTGATTCAAATTTAGTTTTATATGTAATACTATAACATAAGTTAAATTACATAATAGGTACCGTAAGTTTATGTTAAGGAAGTACTTGTAATAATTCAAAATTCCTTAATATATTTATAATATTGTAATTGTGGTTTGTTTTTATTTAGCCCTTCCCCGCCACCTATTTTTAAACTAATTAGATTTTTAATTTCAATGGTCCTCAATTAAATTAGACGATATTATTGTATTTTTTTATTATAAATATATATCAGCAAAACTCTCTCAAAAGACAGGATTTTTCCGTCAAGAATTAATGAAACTTTTTGTAGAACATGTTTTAATTGTGAATTGGTGTTTGTAGTTTGTGTAAATTTTAAATCTGCTGATGTCTCGCCGAAACGTAATGAAATAAACGATACTCAAACTTTTCACACTTTATTACTTCACACTTTGACTGGGACCCACGAAAAATAAGAATTTAATAACAATTGCACGCAATCAGGAAAATAAATCAAAGTATATAAAGAATGTATACAGAATGAAAAGCGACGGCCCCAAAATTGAACCTTGTGGAACACCCGTTTTTAAAATCATAATCACTATAAGTTTCATTTATTTTTACCATTTGTGATCTATTACTAAGATAGCTTGAAAAAGAGCCATTCCTCTTATTCCATAACAGCAAAGTTTGTCTAATAATATTTTATGGTCAACAGTGTCAAATGCTTTTGCTAAGTCAAAAAATGTTATCCGTTTAGGTTCACTAGCATCTAGTTTATTGTAAATTAAATTTGTTATATGGTTTAAAGCATTTTTGGTATTTATATTTTTCAGAAAACCCAATTGATAATCGGATATTATAGTATTTCCTTTTATGAAATCAAAAATTATATTGTAAATTATTCTTTTGAAAAATGTTTGATATTAGTGATATTGGTCTATAATTAGATATATTGTGTTTATCTCGCAACTTATGAATATGTACAATTTCTGCCTTCTTCAATGCCTCTGATCAGATAGCTTCTTCAATACCTCTGATCAGATAGCTTCTTCAATATAAGAATTGAATAAAAATGCTAGATAGAGGTCAGAAATGCAATTTGATAGTGCTTTCAAAGTTTTACTATTAATTTTATCTACTCCACCATTTTTCAGTTTCAAGTTGTGAATTATACTGACAATCTCTTGCACGCTAGTTGATTTTAAGAAAATAGTATTAAAATTCATATGCGGTAACCCTGGTTTAGTATTCGTTTGTTGGACCTACCTGTTTTTCACTCAGTCTCTGACCTATTTAACTAACCCAAACAATTATAATTGTTTGGCAAGAGAAGGAAATAACGAAGAAAAATATCCGTGCATGGTTTAGGGAAGATTTTGGTGAGCGAGTAGTAGTTATTATTGATTTCTTTGAATTTTTTATGGAAACACCATCAGGAAACACCATGGAAACTGTCCAATGCTGCTCGCTGTTGGTCTAATTATAAACATCACCAAACGGTTTTTAGTTGGAAGTACACTTCAGGAAACAATATCATATACAGGGTGGTTTTTGAGTGCGATAGAGTCCCTTATTTCCGTTGGTGTTGAACTTTCGAAAAACAGTTTCATATAAAAGTTGTTGACGCACAAAGTGCGCACATTTAAAAAATATCTTATATGATACAGAGTGTCTCAGAAAGCGAGGCAAGATCAAAGTGTTTTTTTTTTATAGAACTACCCATTTTTCATTAGCTCATGGAATGCAGCTTGAAACTCTGCATATGCACCGTAAATTGTTTTTTTCTTACTTGCGACGTTGGCAGATTATCGCCATTTTTATTATATTATATTGTATATTAATACGTTATTAGATAGACAATTTGCAAAGTTACAAATTTGCATTTACACTTTAAGCTGTGAAATCAACCGTTTTCAAATTATAATTTATTTTATTTAAAAATTTCAAAAAGTTGCTACATTTTGTAAGGTGGCTATGGAAGTCAATAAATAAGTGTAACACCTTGTATTGAAATTTTCAGAACTCTGGTAATTTTGGTTTGTCAGATACTTCTAGTGTAATCTCCCAAAGATGGACCCTATATATTTTTAAGTTTAATACATAGGTTTGACTAGACGCGATTAGCTTTAAAAACTGAAGTATATAGTTTGCGGCATATTGCAGCTTCATGTCTCCTTGTACAGAAAAACAATATTCACTCGAAGACATATTGACAAAATAGTGATAACACTATTACATAAAACGCACAAAAGTGCAAATAATGGCAACAAACTCTGAATTTACAATGCAAAACAAAGCGATACATTTTCTTTGTCTGCCCTCCCAGCAAAATGGCCGCCTGTCAAAAGTCACGTGATTCAAAATGATCTATAGTTTTGTGGCGAA